GAACTTATCAGGTTCTTTATGCCTATAAACGCCTTTGTCTCTTTGGCATTTTCAACACTCCCTAAATGTACACCATTGATGCAGTTTACATGTTTGTGCAAGTTTATAAATCAATGATATTGTGTTCTAAGCTGCAGGCAATTTTATATTATTGAACTTGTGCAATTATTTTATGGCTCTTATTCATGCTCTTCTGTATCAATAACATCAGCAAATGCCTTTTCTTAGAATTAGCATGGTGGAAAATAGGATATCCAACTTGAATTTATCAAAACTGTCTGTGCGCTCTTGTTTGATGGTTTCTATTTACTCGTCTAATGCTTCTATCATCTCCGCAAAGTGACTGTAGCAATAAGTGGTACGCAGTTACTGAAGTTTCTTGTAGTCTCTATTTATTCCAAAGTTGAAGTATAGGAAGGTTTAGTAAGTTTAGTTTAGCCCTACCACAACTACTAGGCCCATCATCCATCTATATAAGATGTCTTCAATGTATCATCCAGCATACATTGTACTACACATATCAGCCTGTTGTGCCGTGTTTTTGCTTTTTCAAGGTGGCAGGTAGTAGCTATTTGCCACCCAGCGTCCCACCGGATCAGGGAAATCATGGTGTCTGACATCCTGGTGTTGTTTATATAAAAAATAAACATATCAAATCCTCACATCTTAGAGGAGAAAATGAATGGGGCAGGGAGGGACAGAAATCCACTTGTATCATTAAAGTTTTCACGTGCAATTATTTAAATTTATCCATTTTTTAAACAGGGCTTTATACATCGAGTAGAGGCTGAAGAAGTGATTTTGCAATTCGACTACGAGTTTCATGCAAACCATAGAGAGGGCGATCTCTATAGTGTACAGTTCACACATAACCGGGTCGGTATGCGGAGGATGATTCACGCCGTTGAAGCTGCAAATAAATTGTCAAAAGAAATTCTCTTCCCTTCATCTAGGAGGCGACAGATTCATACCACTCCATTGAAACCCATATCATGTAAGCTTAATGCCGAGCAGTCGAGTGCTGTTGAGAAGATTCTTGGTTGCAGGGGAGGTGCTGCATATGTTATCCATGGGCCTCCTGGTACAGGGAAAACAAAGACGCTTATAGAAGCTATACTCCAGCTATACTTTTGGAGAAAAGATGCTCGAATTCTAGTCTGCGCACCATCAAATAGTGCTGCTGACAATATACTAGAGAAACTACTCAATGAGCAGGCAGTTGAATTCACAAAAGATGAGCTTTTTAGGCTTAACGCAGTCACGCGTGCGGTCGATGATGTCTGTCCTACTTACCTCGGATTTTGCTTGGTTGAAGATGAGACTTTTAAGTGCCCCCATTTAAGGTTTCTGACTCGCTATAGGATCATAATATCCACTTATGCTAGTTCGTTTCTTCTTTTTGCTGAAGGCATCAAACCAGGCCACTTCTCTCACATTTTCTTAGATGAAGCCGCACAAGCTTCAGAACCTGAGACCATGATTCCTCTTACTAATCTCTTAGGGAATGAAACTGTGTTTGTTCTTGCTGGTGATCCTTTGCAACTCGGTCCTATTGTCTTTTCAAAAGACGCAGAAAAGTATGGTCTTGGGACCTCATTCATGGAAAGACTATTTGAAACCAGCAGTGTGTATGTCAATTCAAATTATATTACTAGATTAGTGAGGAACTACCGGTGCCATGAAGCAATTTTGAAGCTTCCGTCAGAAATGTTTTATAATGGAGAACTGATTGCATGCAAAGAAGATGACAAGAAGACATCTTGGAATTTGGATGATCTCCTTCCTAACCCGGAGTTCCCTTTGCTTTTCATCGGAGTACAAGGTTATGACGAGAGGGAAGGAAACAACCCATCATGGTTCAACCGTATTGAGGCTAGCAAAGTTGTTGAAGTCGTTAGAAACTTGATTGATCACAAGGGACTGAGAGGGGAAGATATTGGAGTTATAACACCTTACAGGCAACAAGTGCTAAAGATACGAAGAGTTCTAGAAGGTTCTAGCACCAAGGAAGTAATGGTAGGCAGTGTGGAGCAATTCCAAGGTCAAGAAAGAGAAGTCATCATTATATCTACAGTTCGTTCAACCGTGAAACACAATGAACATGACAAACTTTACTACTTGGGATTCTTGAGTAACCCAAGAAGGTTCAATGTAGCTATCACTCGAGCAAAATCTTTGCTTATTGTTATTGGGAATCCGCACATCATTTGCCAGGTACTATCATAATTAGCATTTCCTATAGATAAGGTTCAAATAGAAATGTTCTTCGTTTGTGCTTCAGTGGTTTTTTTGTTTCTTTTGTTCATACTTTATATGAGCCGGAAGTCTCTTGGAAACTACTTCTTTACTTCATGGTACGGGTAAGGTCTGCATACATACCCTCCCCAGACCCTACATTTTGTGGGATTTTACTGGGTTTGTTGTCCAAATAGAAATCTACTCTCTCTGTCGGACACAATTTTTCCGGTTTTTCTTTTTCATTTGTCCAACATGACTTCCCTACTTGTTTTTCCCTTTCTGGAAAAAAGATATGTGGTTCAAAATATTTCTCCCTTCTAAACAAATTCTAACCACCCACTCTTCATAAAAATCCCTTAGTTCGGATAAATAAAGAGCAGAAATAACTTTGTAATCATTTTTGCCTCTTACTATTGGCATTCTATGATTTAAACTCAAGGGACTGAGCAAAAAGGTGAGCCTAATATTTACTTTAACTTCTTTCCTTTTTGAAAGTTACTTGATTAAGCTAACCTTTATGCATTATTGCTTCTGAATTATTATTTTTGTTCACTACTTATTATTTGGTCCCCGGTGCTTTTTTACTACCTATCATTTGTAATTACAGTGATGCAAAGTTATCCCAAGTTTCTACCTAAATGTCTCTAAAATTATGTTTACGCTTTCCTTTTATGTTCGTCCCGGACAAGGAAACCGTTATGTGTTTCGTATGGTTTCTCTCTCCCCTAAATTAATCTCAACCACCCAATTTTCATTTTAAAAAAGGGTGTCTTGTTATAGCTGGGGATGTTTGTTTAAGACTGCAAAGCTTTTTCTTTTCACTACTCTGCAGGATGAACACTGGAACAAGCTTCTGTGGTATTGTGTAGAGAATGACTCCTACAAGGGCTGCTTTTTGCCACCAAGGGAGGAAATCGTTGCCGACGAATCTGGTGCTGGATGGGGGGGATATGAAGAGCCCAACAACCAGCAGTGGTTCGAAGGTTGGAAAGACGTTGTTGATCCTATTAACCAGGGAGCCGAATCCGGACAGGTTTGGGGGGACGAAATCCCACCACCAGTTACAGATGAAAACGAGTGGTCTGACGGTTGGAAGTAGTCATGCTCTTCCAACTGTCAGTCTACTTTTTGGCTAGAAACCATTGTTTGTAAGCAAGTGGGTCTGACAGTTGAAAGTAACTTTTTCAACCGTCGGGCCACTTTTGGTGGGACACAAGTATTTGTTGATGTTGGAGGGTGTCATTGGGATTGTAGTGGGTTCGCAGTTGGAAGTAATGCTTCCAACTGCTAGTCCACTTTTGGTGGGAAAAAAAAGTGTTTGCTGATGGTGTCACTGAGAGTAAGTGGTCTGACGGTAGGAAATAATGATTCAAACCGTCAGTCCACTTTTGGCGGGAAACAATGGGTTTGTTGGCGTTAGAGGGTGTAAATTATGTTCCTCAAGAACGGTAGGTGTCATTAGTTGCCTAGTTATACTCTACTAAACCTGATTTAGTACAGCATTATTGTTCATCCCTATTACTCCCGTCGTCCCTATAAAACTTCATATTTATTTTATTACTGAGATGGTATTCGTCAATTGAAAATAATTGAGATGGTATTTGTCATATTTATGTGTCTTTTTTCGAATTGGCCCTTAAGATGAATTGATTGCAAAGACGGTATTCGCCAAGTTAGCTTACCTGAAACATTCATATCAATTCAAGCATCAAAGTCCCTACAAAAGAACCTATTAAAAGTCCCATAGGGAAGAAATACTTCCCAATTTTCTTCAGACAATTCAGGCAGCAAGCATCCAATGCAAACCCCCATCTTTTCCTCTCCAAATTTGTTATAAGCTTCTTGTGTTTCACCAGCCAAATGAACATAACAACTTTATTGGTGGCCTTTATCTTCCACATTGAGTTCAAAGTCTTAGTATTATCCTTCTCAGTAGTTCTCGCTACTACTCCTTCCGTTTCTAAAAGATGTTTCTGTTTCACTTTTTGCGTATCTTATAAAACACTTCTATCCAAACTTAAATGCCAAAAAAACTTTCAAAGCAACTTCTATCTATAATAAAGAAGAAATATGGTAAATTTTAGGCAGTTTAGGTATAGGTAGAGGTGTTTTATGGAATGCGCAAAAAAATAGAACATGAACATTTTTTAGAGACAGAGGAAGTGTTATAAGCTGAAGTAACAAAGCAGTGACCGTTTGGTTCAAGTTTACTCTGTGTGTCCCATTAAAAATTCCACATTTCCTTTTTTTCCCTTTACTTTATATCTACCATATCATTTAAACCATCCTCTTTTTTTCTCTTTATATCCATTCTTCAATCACTAGGGAATACATATCAAAGGTAATTATCCTCATTAAACTCCTTGTATATACTTTATTAACTATCTAATGCAACCTAATCCTTGAAAATGATAGTGCATGAGTGTTATTCTCAATGAGAGCAGGTAATGTCAATTGCATATCGGTAACTATTCAAATATCAATCGAATGCAAATAAAAATATCATCCAATATACTCTACTTATTTTATACTCCGTATTCATATTCAAATTCACAGTCTAAAAAATTAAACAAATACAAATTCAGACACTCGAATTCCACTCATCTCCATTGGTTTACAAATCCGCAATCCACATCTCTATGGTTCAAACAAGAATTGTGCTTTCATGGTCTTAAGGATTTAGGATCCATTTGGTTCACATAACAGAATTGAAATTGAATTGAAAATTGAAATTCTATGGAATTCATTTGAATGAGATTAAATTCCGCAATTCCAATTCATTTTTGGCGCTACCAATTCCAAATCCACATCTTTTTGTGTTATCAAACTACAGAATTGAAATTGTTATCTCCAATTCCAATTCTATAATTTCAATTCCGTGTACCAAACGAAACCTTAGACTTTCTTACGCTTTTCATGAGCTCACAAGTAGGGTTTTTTTATTTTACAAAAAACCCAACCGTTTAGAGTATTTATATACTAAAGTTCATCTAATGAATATAGACCTTAAAACTACCTAAGAATTTGCCTCTAAACAAAAATCAAATGAGAATGATTGACCTAATTACCATCAATGGGTACTAGCAGCCATGGTAGTAGTCATCATCTTCCTCAGGTTTACAGATCCACAGCTCATCATCTAGTCTCCTAAATTCACCAAGCAGATGCCCAAAGTTATCAATAATGGGGATTCCATATTTCACTGAATAACTCACCTCTCTCCCATCCCCCATTGGGACCCACCTCCCCAACCACATCTCTCCATCTTCTTCTGCTACTATCTCTCTGTTACTCGAACTGGAATCAGAGCTCGCCGGAACTTCAAGAACCTCTGCAGATTCCTCCGATCCATCCTCTTTCTTGGATTCAATCGGTGGAATCTCTGTTATTCCCTGTTGGGCCATCTCGAATTCCTTCTTCCGGCACAGGTAAGCATCTGAAGCCGCCGCCGCGGAATCGAATGTTCCCAACCACACCCGCCGCCGCGTGAACGGGTTTCTGATCTCCGAGCACCACTTCCCCCACTTTCTCTTCCTGACCCCTTGGGGGAAGGGTGTTTTGGGCATTCGTCGCGTACCCGGATCCGAAACGGGGATCTTCAGGGGAACTGCCGCCGGTTTTCGGGTCACCGGAGATGGATCCGCCGGCGAGATCCTAGGCCGGCGGATGTAGGCTTCGTAGACCGCGATTTTGCGGCGCTTTGCCGGCGTTTCTCGACCTTCTTCGTCGGAGGATGAATCGGTGGCGTCCGGGTCAGGGTCTGAGACCCGAATCGTGACTTTTCTTAGATCCGCCGTGGTTTCGACGGCCATGGTTTCGGGCAAAAAAACAAGAAACAGAAAAGATCAATTCCTAGGTTTCCTCGAGAGAAGGCGACAATGTATATATACGGTATAATATTGTATTTTTCCTGTTATTTTCATTTATATTTATGAGGTTTATACTTTATACCCCCTAAAATATTCGTCTCTTTATAGGGTGCCTTACTTTCCCTCACAATAAATGAGTGAAGGAAAAATTTATTTGGGATATGCTTCCTTAAATGATGCTTAGAGCACTCGAAATACTCGTGAAATATCGGGATTTCATATCGGGATTTCAAAATTTCTTTTTTTGTTATGTCAGTATTCACTTACCTTACAATTTCACTAAAAATTAGTTGAAGCCTTGATGCTTCAAACTAGGTTTCAAACTTTTATTTTTTTAAATTTTTAATATACATTTTGTAATATTAAATTAATAAAACATTATTAATTAATTAAATCTAAATGACAATAATTTATTAAATAAAAAAATTGCATTCAATAAAAAAGAGCATGTAATAAAAAAATACATTAATACTCCGTAAAAAACTTAGGTAAATTATATTTGGCATTGATCTCATTTTGTCTTTTCTCGTAAAACATACGTTTGAAGCCAGTTAACGTATCAAGGTCGGTTTCCATTATTTTGATCTCCTCCTTCTATTGCTTTCGTTTCTCACTCTCTTCTTCCTTAATATTGAACACCCGAAGAGAGCCAGACCATGCAAAATTCGAGACAATGAATTTTGTCTTCTTCCTTCCGATCGACCGTGGAATTGGATCCTCGTCGTTGGAGTGGTCTAGGTTGAAGGGAGGCCTTTGTTCTGATGAGCCGATAGTGTCATCGACATCAACCTTGGCAGAAGATCTTTTCTTTAAAGATCCGGCCTCGGGGTTGGTGAGTTGTTGTCATTTGGATAAACGACTTGAAATTCTTCAAAGATCGACATGGACCTTGTCTTGATGTTCATCGTCTTGATATCAGGCGGTGGCTTGCCGCAGAACATCGGAATCGTTCATCCCGCTCTTCCAGGACAGCATTCTTCGTAAACTTTGATAAATTTTCAAGCTTCACGGTTGATGTGGCCCCATTTGGAAGTGAGCTGGTCTAGGGTTCGGTAGGAGGCGTCGTTGTTCATCACCACAAAGAACTTTTCCACAATACGATCTCACATCGTATCATTCGTTTGCTCAGAACTTTTAAAAAATATATAATTAAACAAAAAAAAATTTAGCGCGCACACACACACATGTGGTTTTCTTGTTGTTGTTTCTTCAACTCTTGTTAGTTTTATAAAAAAAGGTCCAATTATTAGCGCATGAAAAATATGTAAGAAAATCTACATTTTATATTTGGACTTTAGAATCGCAATAACGGCTTCGAAGAAAGAGTGCTCGAAGTCGAAGATCTCATACTGCAATCTCATTTATGAACATCTTATTCTTAATTACGGAGTATTACTTATTACTTATTCTTAATTGAATCAGATTAGATCAGAAATAACTTTAAATATAACTACATTTAAATTAGACAATATCAGATCAAAAATTCAAAACTTATTCCAATTAGATCAGAGTCATTCAGATTAAAGTCCTAAGTGGCCAACTTCCTATTGATTTTTTTATAATTTGATAATATAATATTTTGAAATTATTTTATATAACAAACTTAATAAAATTATTTTCATATTAATGTCTAATATTTCGGGTATAAATTTTTATTTGATTAATGATCAAGTTTTATCAATTTTAATAACAAAAAAATTAAAACAAAACAAATACTCCCTCCGTCCCGCTTTGTTTGTCCACTTTTGACTTTTGGAACTGTTCATCTAAGCACTCTGACTCATCAAATTCTCTCAATGTGTAAGCCTAAATATAGTCATGCGTGATCTTGTTTGATCTGTCTTAACATATCGATTATTAATATATAATTTCTATAATTTTTTAATATACAAATTACAAGATAAAATGGATTAAAGAAGTGTATTGGATGGTGTGCAAAAATGAAAGTGGACAAATATAGTGGAACAGAGGAAGTATACTTTAAGAGAGAGATAATACGTAGTACTCCCACCGTCCGGAAATATTCTTCTCACTTTCCTTTTTGGTCTGTCCGGAAATATTCTTCCCATTTCCTTTTATAGTATACTTTTTAAGGATAAATATCAATAATATCCTTCTATTTTATCATAAATCTACTTTTTTAGTACTTTTTTTTAATAATAAAAGGAGATTTAAAGTTTATAATATGTGCATTTTTGAAAATTTTACATTTTTTTACTATTCCTTAATAAGCGTGTCAAGTCGAAGAATATTTCCGGACGGAGGGAGTATTATTTATTCCAAGTTCGAACGAATGACTTTAATCGATTTAAATGAGTAGTGTCAACCGGTATGATCATAATATTGATGTTAATAGATCCCTCTTGATTTGATTGTTGGGACTTGGGATATTGTCGTCGAATCTCCATAAATTCCAAATTTGGCTTTGTTTCTTAACAAAAATATGTCACTATGCGAAAATTGTCTCAACAAATTACCATTAAGCGGCCATAAAATCACGAACATTAAATAAAAAAATGTTAAATTAAAAAAATGTAGTTAAAGAAGGCATTGAAGAAATTAATTTAGACACAATTTATTGAAGATTGTGAGCGTGAGGATCACATAAATTAAAGTGCATTTATGCAGGGACTCAAATTTTAATATCGAGAAATGCTTAATTTACAATCAAAAAGTACAAAATATATAAGAGACTCAGAGAGAACTCTCTTTATTAGAATAAAAAATTATAAAAATACCCAAATAGAATTAATAAGTGTTTCAAAATTAAAATATAAATTTGTATTGACATTGTTACACTGTCACACTCACCACATTATTATATTGTAATTGTCATACTATCAACGCGACTTACATCCAAGGAGGCAATTACTCTCGTCCTTATATTATGGCGAGTAGTTAGTATTCTTCTCCGTGCCACAACAACGTTTAACACAATTGATCTAGTTTGGAGATTAGGGCTTGTTTTAAATCTGATTGATATTGATCCGATTCGGATAAATACGGATCTAATTTAATTTGATTTGTTCTTACTTAATTTGATTGTAGTTATATTTAAAATTATTTTTATCTGATCCAATCTCCCGTATTGTAGTTCGATTTCAATAAGAATAAGTAAAACCGATTTAGTTTGATTTCAATACAGTGTCAAGCTTTAATTAAATTTTTTTTACTCATTTTCGCTACCCATTTGAAAAAATAAGTCTCATCACTTGATTTATTTTTTTGAACTTTTGATGTAGTTTTTTAAAATATAAATTTTATTTTTTAATTTCATACCAATTTTCAAATAAATTGAATAGAAAATATTTTTAGCTAGATCTCGTAAATAACATCATGCGACTAAAATTGGGACGGAGGGAGTAAGCAATAAGAATGAGTCAAAGAGAACAAGCACTAAGTTAAGTGAAATTGTGTGGTTGAAAGTTAGGCAGAGAATAGAAATACTCCTTAAGTCCTAGGAAATTTGTCCACTTTTGATTTTCTGCTGTCAATCAAAATTGATATTTCACTTATAAGTAGTAATTAAATAAAAATTACATGGTATGTTAGAAAAAATAGTTTGAAATATTTTTTAAAAGACAAACTAATAAAAGTATTCTTGTAACAATATCTAATATAAGTTTTATTTTATTAATGATCAGAGTTTATTGATTTTGATCGTAAAAAATTAAAAATATGCTAATAGTGTGGGACAAAAGTAGTAATACAAATATTAGCAAGAAAAACTTTTTCAAAAATAGGGAGTGATACTTTTTCTGAGATGAACAAAAAAATGTAAAATATTATTACGCGACTGCGGAAGTAAATAACAATATTTTTGTTTAATTTTATTTCCATGTACTCCCTATATTGTACTTGTATTAAGAATGAATTAGTGAGTTTGTCAAAAAAAAAAAAAAGAATTTGTGAGAGGTAAGGGCCAAGTACGTACTTTAATTTGGACCAGGTAAATCAGGCTTTAGCAAACTTTGAGCCCAGATTAATTTATCGCTAATTGGGCCAAACTTTTATATTCTCTCACATTCTCGTTTGGATCCTCAATTAATTTATCCTTAGTTGGGCCAATTTTTTTTAATACCCTCACCGTCTCGTTCGAAATATGTGATGTCTAATTGATTTTTTTTTTTAAATTAAAACTATTTAAATGTTTGTATAAAATGTAAAAAATCATACCACTCAAAAAAACGTATGTTTATTTAAATTAATATTAATTTTTTTTAGTACGAAGTAAAGTTCCTCTTGTTACAGTCGTGGATCATGAAAAACAGAACCAGAAAAGTGAAAACAGAATCACGTTAAAACTCTTATGTGTTGTTTGTGTTCTGTCTCCTCTCGATTCTCGTAGATATTTGTGTGTGTTGTGTGTTTAATTTCCAACATATGCACACATATTTTTCGTAAGAAAATTATATGTACTCACGTAATTATTTTTTGTCTCAAATACAGAGTAGGAAAACATCAACTTCTTTTTAATTATTTTTTTTTGTAATTGAAATCATATACCAGTTTGAATGCAAGGAGTGTTTTTAAAAAATATGAGAGCTTAGTTTTGAAAAAATTATTAAACAAAAAGTGAAAACTTAATTTCCTTATATCAGTCCTACAAAATTTTTGAAAATTTAAAAATAATGCATGTGGGAATTGAATTGTTTGGACTACTTTTACTCATAACTCAACCTTAAACTTTAAATTAGTACGATATTGTCTGCATTGACCTCTAGTAAAATTCTCATAGATTTATGTTTGGACATCTTTTTAAATGCTTCACATATGGACAAATGGAATCAAATCTAAAATATAATGAAATAAAAATATAATTGAATCTTTTTAAATATCTTTATTTTAAAATATAATGAAAGAAATAAAAAATGCAAGTGGTCCATTAGAGAATATGATCTAAGGGTCATAAAAATAGAAAAATATGTAAAAATTTTAGCTGTTGAGGAGACACTTAATTAATGAGTAATAAGAAGTGAAGAATCAAAGAGGGATGGCCTCTTGACAAACCTCCCCTTGATTCTAGGCCTTTTTTCGGCGTTCAATTTTCGAACTTGGTACCTTATTTTCTTTGAAAAGAGTCTATTTCGCCGCTTTTCTCTGTACCTATACACTCTCTCCTTTCTCCATTCCTCATCCATCACACTGTAATTCTGGTTCTTCTTTGGTGCTTCCATTTCTTCAATTTCACCCTATATTTAACACAATACAATAATAAATATAGAGTAAGGTGGAGCTTTTTTATCTTTGTTTGATCTGATTGGTTATGGTTTAAATTGATTAAAGTCTCATATTATCTAAACTGAAATGATCTGATTCTGGTTACAATTAAACCTATTTTTATTTGATATGTCATTATCTCATTTGATTTTAATAAAAATAAGTAATACACAGTGTTCTCTGTTCCAAATTAGTCATCTCAATACTTTCAAATTACGGGTTTTAAAAAATTGAAAATTAGTTAAGTAATGAATGAGTACAATTATTTTGGAATAGACAAAAAAATAGAATGATTAATTCAGGACGAAATGAGTAAGTAAAAAAAATAAGTGAAAAGTAGCATGCCTAAGACTTCATGGGTGGCATCACCTTTAGGGTCTGTTTAGTTCGAGGGAAGGAGAATGGAAAAAATCTGAATATCTCTCTTTATTTGGTTTTAAAACATGGAGAATGAATACATAATTTTAGCTTCAATTCCCTTTTCTTCTCTCCAAATCACCTTATCTTTCTCCTCTTCTTCCATCAAAATTTTCTTCAACTTGCCTTTAAAAGAATAAAATAAAAAAAATAAAATGAATGAATGAATAATAATAATTACAACGTAAATAAAAACAAAAAAAATAAATAAATAACTAGAAAATATAATAAATCATTACAAAATAAAAAATAAAATTAATAAAAAAAAATTAATTATAGAATTAATAAACAAGTTATAAAAAATAAACAATAACTATGGAGTAATATGATAAAATAAAAACTGATAATTAAAAATAAGAAAATAAATAAAAACTTTATAAAATAACAAATGAGTATTAATAATAATAAATAATTATAATAAGAACATAAAGAAATTAATAAATAATAAAAAATCATAGTAATAAATAATAATTTATATAATAATAATAATATAAAAATTAAATTTATAAAAAATTAAATAAAAATAAAATTTAGAAAAAATATTAATAAAATAAAAAATTTAAATTATAAAAAATAGAAAGATAAATACAGGTAAAATTAAAAAAAAAATAACAAAATATATTTAAAAATGAGAAATATAAATTATAAAAAATTAAAAATATACCTTTTCCTTTCCCTCCCAACCAAATAAGAAGGGAATCATTCACATCCCTTCTCATTCCTTTCCCTCCCCTTCCTTCCAACCAAACGACCTTTAAAAAAAATTGCGAAAGATAAATCTAATAAACATTTTTATAGTAATATTTGATGTAATTTGTAGTTTACCTTATGATAAAATTTGTGTGATTTAATTGTAGGCAAATTTTATGGTGGACTCATAGTCCACCATGGACCTACATATGACTCGAATAAGTAATTCCTTACTATCTAGATGAACATTTTTTAAAAATAAAAATAAAAAAAATTTATGTAAGAAGGTCTACAAAAATAATATGCACCCAAGGTGCACTATAGAAGCACCCTTAATTGTAAAAGGTTAAGCTTGACAAAGGTAGTAATTCAATAATAAAAATAATTCACTAATAAATGGTCACCCATATAATTTTTCCTCATATATGCTAATATCAGACTGGATCTAGAAATCTAAAGACCCGTTGAAAAAACATAAAAACAAGCAAAATAAAGTGTTACGGAGGTTTTCAAAAAAAAAAAAATTGTGTTACGGAGGGAAGAAGAAAGGTTACCGGCGTTAGATCAACTGGCCAGCAATCGTTAGGATCCAAATCCTGGCGTTTTACGCCGTTACTCCATGGACGTCTCTCTTCAGCCCAAGCCGTAATTACCCCTTCATAATCGAGCTTCAATAATAACCTCTTCTTCCTCCCACCATTTTCCGGGTCAAACTCGTCCTTTCCCTCCCGACCCGTCTCCAAAACGGCACCGTTTTGGTCATTAGCTGCCACATCCTCTTGTGTGGAATTACTCAAAAGCCCCAACCCTTCCATGTCCAATACTAATGGCTCCCCCTCTTCCTCCCCAACTCCCTTCCCCAACAATAATCTCTCCACCTCCGTCGCGAACTGCGACGGAGAAGTATTTATATTCCACTTTTTATCATAAATTTTGACTTTTTCGCGTCGAAAATCACGTCGCGACGTTACCGGAACATAGGAATTGCACATCTCCGCCACCGACGGGTCGATGATCGGGACACGGTATATTAGCTCCTCTTCCTCCTCCTCCTCCTCGCCCTCGAAACGGCGGAGATTTTCATCACTAGTGCTATATACCTCCGGTACGAGGGCGTGACCCACGTCGCCCGACGAATGACTGAACTCCTTAGTAAGTATTGAAAGAGAACGTTCGCCGTGGGTCCCGCGTTTCCCATTACGCGGGGTCCGTGGCTTGCGGGTGAACCCCGAGTCCCAGGAAGGGGACGAGGGTGGCGACGCGCACCTCAGACGAACCCTTCGGTGCCTTCCGGCCAAAGAGTTTGCTGAATGCACCAAAAGGTCACAATTCTGGCACAAGAAAGCATCGTCGGCGGGACAGAACCACTGTGCCGCCGCCTTGCTCGCACAACCATCGCAAGAGCGGGGCGGCTTGGCTTCGGCCGCCGCCAGCGTTGTACATGGTGATGATGAAGAAGAAGAAACCATGGAGATGTGTTGTTGCTTCTTGTGCATGATCAAAGCTTGGTTTATTTATGATATAAAGATGTTATGAAATAAGTGAAGGGATTGTTCAATTATTTTGGCAATAAGTGGAGAGAATGTGCCCCCACAAGGCCACACATATGAGCTTTGGCATTGAATTTTTGTAATTTAAAAGCCAAACTCCCTTTGGGTTTGTACATTTGATGTAACATAAACTTTTGTCTTGTTAAATCTTCTCTTTTCTTAACTCACAATTTTTCTCTCTTTTCTACATCATTTTTAATTATAAGTTTTCACTTTTTTTTTAATTTTGTGTCAAATAAAACTTGAAGCCTTTGATTAAAAGATATTAACAAATAGAATACCCCACAGTGGGTCCCATGAGGAATGGGGCTATGCACTTTTGGGGTGCAAGATGGGTCCTACATACCATGAATGAAACCCTATCTCTTACAGCGTTGCATTCTGATTAGCTGCTTGGAAATGGTTCATCACTTCATCCATCTTTCAGCTTCCTGATTGGCTGCCTTTTCCTATCAGGGGATTTCCTGTGGATCCCTCTCTTCTTGAGGATAAAATAAAATAAATAAATAGAGATGAGCCCATTCCTAAACCTTTATCAAATTGTCATATGAGAAGAGCTAAATTGAGTATTAATCATTAATAATAAAAAAAACATATTTAAATAATGACCAAAGGTCCTACATTGAGAAATAAAAACATGTGGTCCTATATTGGGAAAGTCATTATGTTTTAGTCCTATTTAAGTAAATTTCTCTAGAATATATGGAGGGGATTCCTACCCTAACAAGGAATAGAACCTCACTAAACTACACTCCCTTAGTCCCATATTTTTTTTACCGTTGCAAAAAACTAAACTCGAACCCGTGCGTTGCACGGTCTGAGTTAAAGTTAAATAAATAAGGGAAGCATTGATAGAAGTAAAAGATAAAATTTACTTTAAACAAAGATACGTAATATATATTAAAGAGGAGAAGTTTTACAACAACGCACAATGTGAAAAAATAACATAATAAGTTTTAGAAAACTTCTTATAGACTACATTTGTAGTTTTATTAGATGTCACATGATCTTCACCACAAATCCAAATCTTTAATCCATTGTGATTAGTGACTCGTGATAATGCCACATAAACCTGGCCATGACTGAATACAGATTTCTTTAGTAAAAGCCTAACATGCGTCAATGATTGTCCTTGACTTTTATTGATTGTCATAGCATAAGAAATCATAATCAGGAACTGTTTCCTTTAAAATTTAAAAGGAATTCTTGCATCCGATGGTGTAAGAACAATCACGGGATAACAATTTCTTAACCAATGTTTTTCCCTGTCACCAATCTCGGGATAAAAATTTGTTTATATAATTCATCCATGTTTTTTCGAGCCAGTGAATACTTAACCAATAAATATACTCACTCCGTCATTGAGTATTTGTCGACATTTGATTTTTTCCGTAAAAATTAGTAAATTTTGACCTTAAATTTAAAAATGGTATTAGATATTGATACAAAAATAGTTTTATTACATTTATTGTATCAATTATTGTCAAAAAACTGATTTATCTAATTAATATGTAATTTATATTTTATTTAATTATATGTCAAAAATTAAAGATAATTGACCAAAAAAGTCAAATCAGGATAAAAACTTAGGGAAGGAGATGCAAATATCTAATAGGCAATAGCTCAAAAAATTTTCGTACCTGTGCGTTGCACCGTAAAAAAATTCGTTATTATATTTGTCACATCTTAAAATAAATTTATTAGATTTATAATATCAAGTATTATCAAAATATTACTTTATCTAATAAAAATAAAATATATATTATATTTAATAATAGATCAAAAGTTAAAAATACATAACAAAAAAAGTCAAACCTAAACAAAAATTCAGGAACAGAGATAGAAATATATACTACCTCCGTTCCAGAATATTTGTCCAGTTTTGACTTTTTTCCGTCAACTATTTTCAACCTTAGACCTTAAATTAAATCAAATATATATTGTTTTTTAATTAGATAAAATAATATTCTGAAAATATTTGAAAATATTTGATATAATAAATCAAATAAAACTATTTTTGTATCAATATCTAATATTGTTTTTATTTAATTTATAGTCAAAGTTTATCAATTTTGACCGAAAAAAGTCAAAAGTGGACAAATACTCATGGACGGAGGGATTAATAGGCAATGACTAAACTTTTTTCGGCCCACATTTTATTTCCGGCCCACACAATATTTTCGGCCCAGACTCGATTCATATAAAACCTACTTATCAAACCTTATTAAACCTACTAACTTCTTCCGCCGCATCCACCCCCTCTTTCTCGACATACTTGCTCTCTCTCTCTCTTTCTCCTATGTTGTTGTTTCTTGGTTATTGAACATATACGGAGTACATTTGTTGGTTTCCCTATAAGCCGATTCTGTTCGTCGATGCATCAATGACTTTATTAGGTATTGATATTTTTAGTCAATATTTTTTGGATCGTTTTGCGTTTTGTTTTGATTTTATAGTTTTTTTCATTAAGATCTGTTGTAATGAAAAAGATCTTTAGATTCTGGATTTTCATTACCAGATTTCTTTAGATTCTGGATTTTTTTCATTAGCCGATTTCCATGTGCGCCGATTATTTTTACTTTTTTTCTTCACATCGTTTTTTCGGATGATCTTGGGCTCCGTTTTGATTTAATGTATTTTTCAGTAAGATGTGTTACAATGCATATTTATATCATCCGATTTATAAATAGATTTCGAAAATTATATATATATAATATATAGATATATCTCTGTGTGTGTATATTATAGACATGTATATAATTTTCGAAATTATATACTTATATATATCAATATATTTACATACACACACACACACACACATATATATATATACATACATACATAAATATATTAATATTTGAAAAATATAAGCCTATAAAATTATACTTAGCAAGATGTTTTTAATTATAATACAAAAATACATATATTTGTTATAAATTTCTTTATTTATATAAGAAGTCTTATAATATACTGTGTACATTTTCGAAATTTCTTATACATTATCTTCCCCTTTGGAAATAGGACACAATCTGTTAAGCTTTATAATATACATATTGTAAGTTAATACATATAGTGTGTTCTTATTACTGTTAATATGTGTATACCATGTGTGTGTGTGTGTTTATATATAGATATGTATATGTCTATATATATACATGTATATGCATATATGTATATATGTATGTGATATATATGTATGATAATTATTTCCAGCTCTTTGCCTTTGTTCAAAGTTTTCATGAAATTCAATTTTGTGTGTGTGCCTCATTATAGGGCTGTGATAAGATGAAAGGATTGTGAAAAGTAGTACTGTGATGATATGGCCTCAAACATATCAATTTTGTGTGTGTGTGTGTGTGTGTATGAATATAGGGTTGTGATGATATGGAAGGACTGAAATAAGTTACTATGATTTTTAGGCTTTTAATGTTTGAGGCATCGAAGAAAATGAACGTATCTTGGCGTGGCGTCACGGAATTAATCCCCGTTGTTGCAGCCATGGCGATTTCGTTTCTTATTTTGCCTCAAACTTAACACTAGATTTAAAAAATCTGAGCCTCTATTGTATATTAATATATTTTTGTGGGTGCGTGTATGTGTCTAGATATATAAAATACATATTTAACTGCATATTTGCCTCTCTAGATTTCGACGACACACACACACACACACACACATATATGTTAAAAGAAATTAATAAATAAATAACAATTAAGCGTAAAAAAATTGTGAATATCATACATGTTCATCGTGAGAAATGATCACCATTAAATCTCCGTCTTTGGTCCAAACGGGAACAAAATAGACACGCATGGCCTGTAACTTAAACATCTAATTGGTTTGAGTGTTGTCAAGCTCGGCAACGGGAGACCACATGCTTAAAGAAGAAATTTGAGACATTTGATTATTTTTTAGGCTACTTGAGAAGTTTATTTTTTGGGAATGAAGTTTACATCACTATGCTCGAGTATATATATTACATTTTTCATGATCTTTTTAACCATTCATAAAATGGCTAGATTTTAAAAATCTTTACAATGAATGGATTTGACATAAAGTTACTTTTTCCAAATTTACTTTATTGAGCCACACAATTTTTTTCCATAATACAACTTTATGAAACCACTAAAATTGAATAGACATAAAGCAAATTTATGGAGCCACGCACTACAGGTAGTAGCTGTCAACCGCAGACCGATAAAGTAGCTGTCAACCGCAGCCCGATAAAGTAGCTGTCAACTGCAGGCACTCTAAATAGGAAGAAACTTGGCCCATGAATAGTAGGCCCAAATCCGGCCCAAAAGGATGTGTCAAAAATGGCGGGAACACTGTTCACAAATCACTCTTACCATTGTATATAGTAAGATAAAGAAAAATCACAACTTTTTTAAATCAATTATATATATATATATATATATATATATATATATATATATATATATATATATATATATATATATATATATATATATATATATATATATATATATTGGTATAGACCGTTTGCCCAAAGCGGAATAAAGTAGGAGATTCAATGGTAGTCCTTCATTTACCAGTTCGTCTAATGCGGGTGGCCTGATGGATTGGTGTGTTAAAATGTGTAGTACTGATGAAGTAAAAATGTGTTAAACACATTGGTTTGGAGTACAATATAAGCTTATTTCATGATAAAAATTATTTTGATAAGAAAGTATTCCATGATTTTTATATATGTATATATAACTTTTATTAAATCCCAACATAGTATTTCGTGTAAGATTATATGAGCTTTTGTATATGAGTTTAGAAACTAATTAGATTCATACCCTTGCTATGCACGGGTAGAATACTTTATATTATAACTAATTTCATCCAAGAAAATAATTTTATAAAAAAGTAATCCATTTAAATAAAGAGATGATAAATATGTACGTGTAATACGGATCAGAGTACATTAGGGAAGCAAATCATTTCATGAATTGAATCTCAAACCTTGACAAATAAAAGGGTTGATTACAAAGCTTTGTTTAAAAGGGAGGAAGTTAATCCGAAATTAAAATGATTAGATGTAGTTATCATGAACAAAGATATTTCAAATTCTGAAAAGATCATCTTCTACGATTTGAGTTTCAAAACGTTTTTTTCAGTTTTATTGAGATGAACGTGAATGCATTAGAATAAATAAATAAATGTAAAAAAATTGTAAATACTATATATGTTCATCATGAAAGATCACTTCCAATGAATCTCCTCCTTTTGCCCAAAACGGAATAAAGTAGACATGAACGGCTCGTAATATAAGTATCCAAGTGGTGCGACTATTGTCAATCTCAGCAAAGGCATTCCACATATTCTTTGAATATTTTTGAGGAAGTTTTTAAATGAAGGGAAAATTTTTTGGGATGAGATTGTGCACGTAGATCCATAAAAGAACACTACCCATTATTCAGGTCTAATTCGCCAGGCCCCAAAACCGAAATAGATAGCTCATACATTTATGTGGAAACACTATTCACAAAATTCATCCTGATTTTGTATATAGTTAGATGTTTTGAGTCACATCTCACATATTACTTTTTTAAATAATATTATTCAGTATTATTTGATTTTGGAAAAAAATATTTAAAAATTTTTTGCACTTATCAAAAATGAAATGGCTTAAATTTCATTTTAGATTTGAGGTTGTATTTTCTATTTATATATTGCAATTCTGGAGACCAGGCCCATACCAAGAAGTGTCAAGAAATTGTGGAGTATATCCTTATTGCAGGCCCATACTGAACATAGGATTTTAAGCTTATAACGTAAGGGCATTTGCCTTGGGTTGGCCCAGTTCGTAATTATCTATTTTGACTCTGCAATTTGCATAGCTTTTATGGGTGCACAAGTACCGAATTAATCCCGAACCAAATTGGAAAATACTAAACCAAAAAATACCAAAAATTATTCAATTGTATTGAATCGAATGATCGGTTTTATATTTGGGAACAATTAAGATAACTTTCCAAACTGAAAACTTTTTAACTGAACATATATAAAAATATAATTATTTTTTTATATTTTTAATTTATTCATTAAAGCATAAGTTTATTTTGAAAAATTAATTCAAGTTTTATTATATCTAACTTTTTTTTAAATTTCTTCGTTTTAATATTTTTGTAGATTAATTAAAAATTGTTACATATGGAGCACCGGAGGTGCTCCATAATGTTGAGGTCATTGTTTGCTCGGGTCAAAAGAACATTGCCCTAAAAATTACGGAGTACTCCCTCCGTCCCTAAATAAACTTCTATTTTTGACTTTTTGAGGATTTAAGGGAGGGATATTTTTGTGTTGACTTTTCAAAAATACCCTTGATGTGATGTGTAAAAGTAAGATGTGATAGGTAGATTATTAGTAAAAAGGTATGATGTGATAGGTAGGGTATGAAAAAGTAAGGGGTAAAAGAGGTTTTTTAAGGGAAAAGAGAAGTTTATTTAGGGACAAAAAAAACGAAAGAGGAAGTTTATTTAGGGACGGAGGGAGTACAAAACAAAGTTTATTTTGAAAAGTAAAATCATACAAATAACGACCACTGTTATTATTTTTAAAAATTCGAGTTATTTTTTAAAACAAGACACAATCTTAGGTGGTTTCAAGGTCCATTATCATTTTATAAATCTTAGTGTATTGATATCATACAAGAATTAAATATTTTACAAAAAAATCACTTGCCGCCCTATAAAGAGTGTGATACAGACGACTTCTCAGAGCATTGACAATGGCAAGGCAAAAATGAAATGAGACACGGTGACATGGATTATTTCAACCAATAAAAAGTAACCCAGTCACCGTGTGGCAAATGAGTGGAGTGTCGTAACATACAGTGGCAAGTCATTGTTTTTGTCTATTTTTGCACTTTTTAATGATTTTTAATTATAAAAAATTATTTTAAAAATTTATTTTATTATTAAAATATGTTTACTTCTTTTAAAAAATATTTTTTTCAAAAATTAAAAATATTTAAAATATTTAAAAAAATAAAAAATGAAAGAATCATGTCTTGCACATGGAATGAAAAATGGGATGGAATAACCATGGAATGTCATGATTTGAGTGGAATTTGCTGACATGGCATGTCAAGGCAAGACATTGCCTTGCCATTGTGAATGCTCTCACATATGGACCTTAAGACTATGAAAGAATGTTTGTTTTCATTAAATATCCATTGGCTTCCGTTTCCAAATGAAATTGACAATTTGATTTCAAGACGTTGAAGAAAAATATTGAAAACTGTTAAGCTAAATTGAACAAAAAGTTCAATAATAAAATACTAATTGATGAGTGGATGTGAATTTTAGTTAATATATAAGTTACATTTACATAACATCTAATTATAAAACATGCCAAAAAAAATGGTTGAAGTGGATTAGTACCTAATTGGTTCACATTTTTGCAAAAGTTTAAAAGACTACTGATCTAGATTGGGTGTGGATGGCTACATTGGACAATAAGACACTTGAGTTGAACCATATTAAAAGATTGAATCAAATCGATTAGTTAGTTCAACTCAAAAGCTTATGAATCAATTATTTTATCCTTGGACTTCCGTTATGGGATGCATTCTAACAATCTACTCCCTCTGTCCCCCAATATTTGTCCAGTCTTGACTTTTGGAACTGTTCATCTAAGTATTTTGACTCATCAAATTTTCATAATGCGTAACCCTAAATATAGTCATGTGTGATCTTATTTGATTTGTCTTAACATATAGATTATTAATATATAATTTCTATAATTTTTTAATATACAAATTACAAGATAAAATGGATTAAAGAGGTGCATTAGATGGTGTGCAAAAATGAAAGTGGATAAATATTGAGGGACGGAGAGAGTATGTTTAATTAGTAGGGTAGTTTTAGATGCTTCATGATCGGATTTGATATATGACTTGATTATAGTTATATTTAAAATGATTTATTTATCGAAGTGAAAGATAAAAACATTACTTTTTTTCTTTTCTTTTTTTTTTGTTTTGAAAAAAAAAACCGGTAAAATAGGAAAGATGAAACTTGGCGGAAAGAACCGTTGCATGGAGAGCAGGTGTCGGATGAAGTCTTCTGCATGCCTTCCCACGTGCCCTTCTCTCATTCATATTTCGGTCATCAATTGATCACCCAAACAGCTATCCAGTCAGATCCACATCCTCACCCACCAATCCCATTGGGTCGCCCGGCCCGGCCCGGCCTTTTTCCAATCTCTCATTCATGGCTCTAATTATGGCTCTCAAATTAGGCAAACATTGATCCCCATTTATAAAAATAATTACTTCTTCGCTTCCCGAATGTTTATCACAATTCAAAAAAAAAGAAATAAAGTATCAAGTTTTTTCAATTTATTTTATTTAGAGAGAAAGACCATAGTAGAACTAAAACATTAAAAATATACCAAAATAGGACTTTCATATTTTAAATATCGAAATAGGACTTAAAATGAATTTACATGCATTACCAAACATGATCATGTACATTACCAAAAAGTATAGTAATGTGCACATGTACAGTGCTACATTACAACCACATTACCACAGTGTGAAGTTCTATTTTAGCAAAAAAACATAAAAATCCTATTTTGGTACTTTTCTCTATGTTTTAGTCCTATTTAGGGAGATTTCTATTTTATTTATATATTGGCATATAAGTAAAAAAATTTTACATATTTAAAAACTACATGAAAAGTTTTTTGAAATAAGAGATGTCAAAAATACTTTATTTTATCAAATAATCAATGAAAACGAACAAATAAACAAAATTTTCCGTGACTGTTGAAAAAGCAAATGTGTCAAATATTTTGGGAACAATGAGAGTATGTTTTATTGAAATTCACAAATGATAAGTTTGTAAGAATTGTGACTATTTAGTTTGTGAACCAAACATGAAAATTTAGCCACACATTTGGAGGAGATAAATGGAAATCTAGGATTGGGGTGTAGGGGTGGACTGGGGTGCGGTGTGGAGTTTAGGGAGAGGATTAGATAAGTATGAACCATCAATTTTTCATTTGAAACAGTAGAGAATCTCTAAATGAGCGAGTATTATTCGTTCACTGACATGCCTAATATTTATTGATATTAGTTGATGATTTGACTCTGAAAGGTCAACTTATACAAATTACCAACAGATTGGGAAGGAGTACGTAGGTCATTTTTTTTAAAAACATTTTTCCCAATTTGAGTGGGGCAAAATATAAAAATAACTGAGAAATTAAAAACCCATAGTTTTGGATCCAATGTACGGAGTAGCTATTTCATAGATTTATAATTGAGAATTACTCCATGGTTCTTGTCAGGCATATTAATACACTTTCCGTTGCGCAGCTCTTTTTCCATATTATTTTTTCTTATTCATTTTTAAATTTTAACTATAAATTATAAAAAATACATTAAATAATGATATAAATTTAATATTCATAAATTTATTTCGAAACATAATTTTGAAATACTCCTAACATATTTTTATAATATTGCATATATGTGTGTGTGTATTAATAGAAATAATAATAGTTAAAGTATTCTTTCGGCGGCCTTGAAAAATCAAATGAGTATTCTTCATTGTTAATTTTCATCCAAATTTGTTTGTGAGAGATCTTAAAAACCACTAGTTACACGATGGATTGACAATCATTGCGAACACATGAATTGACAATAATCCTTGAATTGTTTCTCTTACCATACATTTAAGTATAAGGAAATGACTTGTATTTAGATTTTATTATTTTTTTAAAAAATAAAACAAAAACAAAAAAGAAAAAAAAGAAAAAAAAATCCCAATGCCTCGACGTAACGGACTCTTTCTTTTCCTTCCTCACACGTCACCTACTTTTATGCTCGTCCACCGTGGAGCGGTGGGGATGCGCTCCACGGAATCAAACCCCGAGAGTGAGGTCCAGGAGCAGCTCGTTTCCGGCCTCGTTCCCCGAACCGCCACCCGGTTCGTCCCGGTTCGCATAGTACTGCTCGACCGTTTCCAGCATGGTCGACCCGTTACTCGGGGCCCGCTCCAACCCGACGCTTCCCTCCGACCCGTCGAACCCCCACCCGGAGAGGCTGAACCTCGCCGGCTCCTCCGTCGCCATCGCGTCGACCGATCTGTTCTGAACCGGTCCGGTCCGCTTGAACCGGTTCCTGGACCTCGCCCGGTGGACCGCGGCGGGCGGCTCCTTGGAGATGTGGCGTATGTCGCACACCTTGAAGGGCGTGACGGCGTGTGACTCGGCGGCGCCGCCGTCTTCCGCGGTGAGTTGCCTGATCTCCGTACCGTTGAGAACCGCTTCCACCGCTTCTTGGCACCGATCCCAATTGCCGCCCCACATCAACCCGACCGACCCGTATATCGGGTTGATGACCCGCCCGCAAGCCTCGTACAACAATGACCTAAAAATCGCTGCACAAAAATAATCCCACCGAAAACATTTTAATCTAATTAATATACTACCACCATATAATTCGTACCACCTCCGTTTCGCTATATTCGTCCACTTTTAATTTTTGAAACTGTTCATCTAAGCACTTTGACTCATCAAATTCTCTCAATGTGTAAGTCTAAATATAGTCATGTGTGATCTTGTTTGATTTGTCTTAACATAGAGATTATTAATATATAATTTCTATAATTTTTTAATATACAAATTACAAGATAAAATGGATTAAAAAAGTGCATTGGATGGTGTGCAAAAATGAAAGTAGACAAATATTCTGGGACGGAGGGAGTATTTAACTTAAAGTCAAATGTTAATTCTGATAGACTATAAAAAAAATTACTCCGTAAAAATGTACAAATACTCTCAACGTAAGGAATCTTTTTCTAAATAAATTTTATTTTTTTACCGTAAAAATAGTACTTGAGTGTTTAAAATGAATCTTTCCGTTTCATTATTTTTTTGTCTCATTTCGATTTAAGATGATATAGGAATGAAATAATTTAAAATCATATTTACTTAAATATCGATGCAAAATTTAAAAAAAAATTGTTCCAAAATAGTGGAAAGGAGAGAATATAGGAAATATATAATGGAACCCAAAAAAAAAAAATGAAAAATTCACACCAAAAGAATTCAAGAGTGACGACCTCTATGCAATGTTAGGAAAGATTTTATTGGGAGGGGAGTATATAAGTAGATGAAAAAAAAGGATATATATATATATAAAAAAGGATACCGGGGCGGAGGTGATGGGGGCCGGCATTGATGAGGTTGATGAGGCCGGCGCGGCCGTAGAACTTGGCGAGGAAGACGGTGGCGTGGGCCTGGGACTCGGGGGTCTTGATCCACTGGAGGCACGGCCTCAGGGTACAGCTCTCGCTGCATCCCTTCCGCAGCACTCGGCACCCATTGCAGCTCATTCTCATTCTCCTCGATCTCTCCTTCTTTCTTTCTTTCTTTCTTTCTTTCTTTCTAGGGAGAGATCGAAAAGAGAGAGTTTATGTGTTTTGGGAGAAGATCGAAGAAGAAGAAGGGCAGGAGGCCAGGAGGGGTATAAATGTATGAAGAGATATATAGAGAGAGAGATAGAGTGAGGGAGTGTGTGTCCCACCCCACATAGCAGCCAGCGCCTTCCGCCCCACCCCTCTCCGGCCTTTGCTCAAGCCTATGTCGTCACCCCACTAGCTTATACTTTCTCCTTTTTTAAAAACACTTTCTCTTTCATTTTTTTCACTTCCAACAAAACACTTCCACTTTCTATTAAAAACCCACTTTTACCCTTACTTTTTCATACCCTACCTATCACATCATACTTTTTCTCTAATAATCTATCCATCACATCTTACTTTTACCCATCATATCAGGGGCAAAATTGGAAGTCAACTACAATTTAACACTTCCTTATTTTTCTACTTTTTCAAAGTAGGAACTCTTTTTTAGAACGGAGGAAGTACTTACAAGTTACAAATGGCCTCTTGTTGAATTACTTTTTTCTTTCTATATTTGTCTATTCTTGACTTTTTTAGTCAAAATTGATAAAACCAATCTTACACATCAGTACATCACCCACAAATTGTTGAGAATAAGTTGATTTAATTACACCAAATTTAAGTAAGTTGTGGAAAAATGATAAAATTTATGACTGGTATGGACAACTGGGTTGGGTAATAAGACATCTGAGTTGAACCACATTAAAAGATTGAATCCAATCGATTAATTAGTTCAACGCAAGAGCTTATATATCGATTATTTTTTGCTCTTGAATTTTCGATGTGGGATGCACTCTAATAAAAAATGAAAAGAAATATTAAAATTTACACTAAATAATACTCCCTCCGTCCCCCTAAGATGTTCTCATTTTGACTTTTAGTACTTTTTAAGGAGAGTTGAAAAAAGGTGAAAGTTTACCATAATACCCTTAATGAAAATGGATGGAGTGTATTAAATGAGGTGGGTGAGGTGTAATAAATAAAGTGAGGGTAGTTGTGGTATTTTAATTGTTAAAAAATGAAATGAAAAGATTTATTGTGGACAAAGAAAAATGGATATTGGAAAGATCTATGGGGGACGGAGGGAGTACTAAAACATATATGTATCTGTTACCAATGTAGTACCTAAAACTTGTTATTTACTAAATAGTATTTGAACCATGTCTAGTGATAAGAACAATGTTAGCACTGATGAATATTTATTCGAATAATGTCCAGTAGACATTGAACATGTATGAAAAATTCACTGTATTTTAGTATTATATAAATAAATTTACAAAAGAAAAACGTCAGGGCACACTATTGTACCCCGGTCGGTGTATCTCAACCGCACAACCTTACCGTGGATAAAATAAAATTGATGAGTGAATAAAGAAAGTATGATGAGAAATTGAGAATTGTTGGTTTACAAGTAGATCGGAATACACATTCTGTGTACACGCATCATAACTCAGACAAGAATTATATCCCTTTTTTTTAGCAATGTTTAAATCTTATATCGTTTCAAATAATTTTATTTACGAATTGGTAAAGAAATAAAAACATACATATTTACAAATTGCATCATCAAAAGAACTATAAAGCAAGTGGTAATAAAACATTTCTTTTTTTATTTTATCAAATGATAAATTAAATATATAAAAATACGGAGTTAATGGAGAGTATATGTATTTCCTCGGTATATTGGGAGTTGAGAGACTTTTAAGGCTCCCACACTCTTGTGTTGATATCCGAGAGGGTTGAGGACGGAAAAGATAGGACACGTGTGAGAACATATTTTGTTAGCATTACACATTGCACGGCTTAGTATACATAGATTGGGACACTATACTATACCCTCTTCAATGTTGAACGAAAAGAAAACATTCTACACGTGTACCGTCTACGTACTTATCACTATTAACGTACTATACACTACTTATGTTATCACTCACACTTTTTTTTTCTCTAAAATAATTCTAAAATATAGGGAGCATTATATTATTCATCACAAATTTGTGTGGTGTTAGTTGGAGTGGAGGTTTGTTGGGATGCAAACTTAGTCCTACAACATATAAGGAGAGAAAAATGGACCAAAATATATAGGTCCAGGTACCCAATCCATTGGTATGAGGCTTTTTAGGATTTAACCAAAAAATAAATCCGTGAGAGCTTGACTTAGAATAGACAATATCATATTAATATGGCTTAGGGTGAGAGTACGCGTGGTCCCAACAATCCCATCCTAATTGAGGTGATAATTTAATCTCAAAATATGGGTTAAGGCTAGCTCGTGAAGGAGGAGGAAGGTAAGATGATAGAAATCACTTCTAGATCGAATGTAGCATTGTGAAATGCCTAATTATATTGGTCTGATGACATACTATGTCATTGCTGACAATTGTAACCCTCCATTTTAGTCATGACTATTAAAAATAGTGAAACAGATACAAGTTGATGTTTATATTGTATTCCGTAATACCACAACTCGCATAATTTGAACTTATGGCTTAGAGAATCAAGTTGTTACTAACTTAGTGTCTTCATGAATGATTTCCAAAATAATTTAAAATCATTTTAATCAAACCCAAACTATTTGGTTAATATGTAAATGGCCCTACTAAATCGATATTAGATTGTAGTTAGTTGTATTTTTGTGCATATATACTAGTTTGGCGCAAAATGAAATCAAGAAATTAGTTTCACCTATTATACATGGTACCAGAGCGTCTTTGAGATTATTCTCTCCAAAACTCTAAATGATGCCTGCCTTTGTCTCTTTCTGGCAAGTTGGTCAAGGCGCTAAGGGTCTCTTGTTCAGTGATCTCACAGTACCGCCGCTCGCAGTAACAAACTAACAATGTCTCCTCTGCCGTTTGTCGAACCCACAATGATGGCAGATCCTCACCCTTCAATTTTAATAATTATATGTCATTCCGTTACGTTGAGTTTTTCACTTCAGTTGCATCCTCTCCTGACTCATCTTCATCTTTATGTACGCGATTTTCTATCACTGACATTAATAAGTATAGAGGTTTGTGGCTGCACTTAATCCTAATGAGCTGCCAAAGAGGATGGGATGCAGTTCAATTTGCTTCTTGGCAAGAAGCTATGCAACATGAACTTAATACTTTGTGTGGGATCACACATGGGGTCTTACAGATCTTCCACCACGTACACTTTCGAGCTTTGGGATATTGGTGGGTGTATTGGACCAAGTTTCACTTGAATGGCCGGCATTAAAACTTTATGATTACACTCTGATCTTTAGAAATCATGTAATCAATATCACCATGTAAGAGAGCGTTATTCACATCAAACTAATTCCTGTGGTGGAGTCTATGTGGGCCAAATCATAGTCAAATTTCGTGGGTGTTTGTATATATTAAAAGTAATATAATGCTAGGGTATGTGATTCTTCTTGCACTAGTCTTGAGATAAGAGATCTTGCAAAGTATCACAAGCTTGTGGTGCACTTACGGTGTATTTTACTATTACTCCTCTTGATATTTTCATTTTGGTACATGTTTTGTCTCAGTTAATGGATGCTCTTCGTCTAGATCATCTCAATACAGCCTTACGTGTCTTGCGTTATCTTAAGGGGCATCTATGTTAGGGAATTGTTTTGCGTAGTGACAACAATCTTGCACTTATAGTTTTTTCAAAATTCAAATGATTAGTTGTCCTCTCGCACGAAGGTCAGTTACTTGTTACTTTGTCATGTTGGGAGGATCTCATATCTCTTGGCAAACCAATAAACAAAAAGTTGTTTCTCGTTTGTTCTCCAAAACCAAGTTTTAGGCTATGGCCAATACATTATCTGAGATCTAGTGGTTTACTAGCGGCACTAGTTGTCCCGTGTGTTTCTACTCCCAAGTTAGTTATATTGTAATAATAAGTCTGCCTTATTCATTGCCACAAAAGTTTCGAAACTCAAAACCAAAAAAATGTGTGTGTATCGTGCTTAACAAGTATTCAACTCCCTCCGTTTCACAAAACCTTTCTCTTTTCGTTTTTTTGTTTTCCACAAAACACTTCCACTTTCTATTAAAAAATCACTTTTACCCCTATTTTTTCATACCCTACTTATCACATCATACTTTTTCACTAATAACCAAACTATCACATCTTACTTTTTTCCATCACATTAGGGGCAAAATTGGAAAGTCAACCAAAATTACACTT